GTGATTCATCGGTCCAATGATGCCGGCCCACTCTACCCTATGAGCCCACAAGCCACCAAGGCCCAAGCCAACATCACAACCATTGATCCAGAACTATGGCACCGGCGTCTTGGCCACCCCAGCCACAGCGTCCTTCGTGGAGTCCCGTCTTTATCTAAGTGTCTTAATAAACATTTTCAGAATTCTTTATGTCATGCGTGTCAATTGGGAAAGCATGTTCGCCTCCCATTTATGTCATCGAGTCGTATTTCTACTTTTCCCTTTCAACTTCTTCATACTGATTTGTGGCAATCCCCCGTTCCCAGTGTTACAGGCTTTAAACATTATATGTTATTGTTGGATGATTATTCTCATTATTTGTGGATTTTTCCTTTAAAGCATAAATCTGATGTGTGTTCTCACCTTAAACACTTTGTTGCTTTTGTGAAAAATCAATTTAACTCCACAATTAAAGCCGTTCAATGTGACAATGGCACCGAATACCGAAGCACACCACTCAGAACCATTTTTGAAAGTCTGGGCATCATCTTCCGTTTTTCATGCCCCCACACTAGCCAACAAAATGGTCGAGCCGAACGCACCATCCGCACCATCAACAACACTGTTCGCTCTCTCCTCTTTCAAGCCAACCTCCCACCCAAATTTTGGGTCGAAGCACTCCACATGGCCACTCATCTTTTCAATATTCTCCCCACCACCACCCTCAATTTCCGCACTCCTCACGAAGTCTTCTATGGCCAACCCCCCACCTACTCTCACCTTCGAGTATTCGGCTGCCTCTGTTACCCAAATATAACTGCCACCACAGCTCACAAACTCGCCCCTCGCTCGGCCCAGTGTGTCTTCCTCGGATACCCGCCCAACCAACGCGGATACCGGTCTCGATCTCCAAACTCACAAAGTCATCATCTCCCGTCATGTCGTGTTTGATGAACACATTTACCCCTATAGTCACCACTCCAATCCCATAGAGTTAGCTTTCCTCGACTCCACGGAGGACGACACCACCCCCTACCACCTTCAATACCCTCCCACGGCCCACCCCAACTCTCAACCTACCCAAACAGTAAGAGGTATTCCAGAGGAAGCGCCGAATATACCATGAAGAAAGATTAATTTCTATCTTAATCTCGGAGGTCAAGCCTCGAATATATACAAGAGACAAGTCTCCTAATTATGGTAGGATATAAATGCAATCCTTCTATACAAGGGAAACTACCAAATATATGCAATCCTTCTACGCACAACTCTAGTCTTCTGTGACAATGTCAGCGCAGTGTATCTCTCATCCAACCCTGTTCAGCACCAGCGCACCAAACATGTGGAGGTTGACATTCACTTTGCCAGAGACAAGGTCGCCCTAGGACAGGTCCGCGTACTTCATGTTCCCTCATCTTCCCAGTACGCTGACATCTTCACCAAATGACTCCCATCACTTCTCTTCTCCGATTTCAGACACAGTCTCGGCATCCGTCCTTCATCGGTTACGTAGTTGGGAGCATGTTAAATATATGTTGTATATTTAATATATTTTATATATTTGGTAGTTTCCCTTGTATAGAAAGATTGCATTTATATCCTACCATAATTAGGAGACTTGTCTCTTGTATTTATTCGAGGCTTGACCTCCGAGATTAAGATAGAAATTAATCTTTCTTCACGAACTATATTAGCTAAATTGCGAAAAGAGAAATGAGAAAAATGACCTTGGAGGAAGAGTTAATGGAGAAACTGCCGAGACTGGATCGGACGGCATCGGAGAGAAATCTGAGCTCCTCGAGCTTCGTATCAGCCGTTCCAATGCAGAAAACTTGCAGAGCCCTGGGATTTGAATTCCGATTAGTAACCATCTCTCGCTATCTTCTTCACTTCACAAATTTCAAGGACTCGAGGATTAGCCTTCCAATGCAGCAATATCCAAATGGGAGTGCGTTGGATCTTCCAAGTTTAGACACACGGACACCTGTATTGTTGTTGATATAAAAAGTGAGCGTAAAAACTTGTTCCTCTTTAGGCTTCTAAATTTTTAGAATTAAACTATTTTACTCCAAAAATAATACAGAGTATCTCACTTTGTACCCAAAAACATGTATAAATATTGTATGCTAGTGTAATAAGGAGTACTCCCTCCGTCCCACTATATTTGTTCACTTTCATTTTTACACACAATCCAATACACTTTTTTAATCCATTTTATCTTGTAATTTGTATATTAAAAAATTATAGAAATTATATATTAATAATCTATATGTTAAGACAAATTAAACAAGATCACGCATGACTATATTTAGGTTTACACATTGAGAGAATTTGATGAGTCAAAGTGTTTAGATGAACAGTTCCAAAAGTCAAAAGTGGGCGAATATAGCGGGACGGAGGTAATAGTTTATAATAATACAAAATTTAGTTTAATTTTTTTTTATTACACAAGCATTTTATGATAGTGTGAATCGTAAAAATTTCGGTGCATCTCTCTAAGGTATAACTTGGGATATATTTCTTGTTTTATTCCTAGCGTGGTCAAAATTTTTAATACTCCTTAATTTTTTAATGATAGAGGTTAACTTTTATAATGTTAAAACTAAATATTATGTATTATATATTACGTAGTACTTTTTAAGATTAGAGTGAAATTTGAAATTGTTGTAAAAGAATATTCACTTTGTCTCGAACAAGTTGTCTCATTTTTTTTAGTTCGTCTCAAAATAAGTGTATCACTTCTTTATTTTCTTAATAAACTATACAATATACGATTTTTAATTTTTCTTTTTCCTCTCATAAGATTTAAACCATTCACTTGTTTCTTTTCAACTCCTTGAAGATAAACAATTTTTTAATAAATAAATATAGTGAAAGTAGTATTGCATTAATATATGATACAATTTTTATTTAATTCAAATTCATATTTTATTCAGTTTGACTCAAAAAAGATAAACGTACGTAACAAATACTCCAAACTCTTTTTGGCTCGAGAGATCCATAAACAAAGATCCATGAGCTTCCCCGGTCCAAATACTTTGGGCCTAGGCGATTCATAAACAAAGGTCCACGGGCTTTGTACCACGTATGGATGAGAGCCTTTTCTCGAGCACGGGCATGTCATGCTAGTTGGAACTTGGAAGTGTAAAAAATATGAATGTTTTCACATTTTTCATGGCATTTTAATTACCATGATTCATAAAATGGATGTGGATCCAAAATCTACATAAAAATTTGTCACACGAATAATAATATATTGCATTATACAAAAACAACAACATTCAAATAAAATTTCACAACCCAGTAAAATTTCACAAGAAAATATATACACTTGTACGCAGACTTTATCCATATTCGAAGGAGACTTTATCCATATTCAAAGCACAAAGGTTGTTGCCAACATGCTATCTACGCCGCAGATGGGGCGGCCACGTAACGGACGACATCGTTCTTGCAGAGAGCCGTCTCCGTCGCCAAATATTTGGCATCGCCAACCTCGAGTTGGCGGCCGACCGCCGCCGCCACGACGGCACCGGCGACCTTCTGGTAGTCCAAAGAGGGGTCATTGTATATGTCCCACCACATGTTCACCAGCGCCTTGATGTCGTCCCTGTCCATGTTTTCCTCTTTGCCGGTGTACCGCCACGGCTTGGACCCCGCCGCACAGTAGTGGACCACCTTCACGTTTTCCAGGTCCACGTTCTCCGGGTGACGCCAAAGCATGGCTAACACCAAATTGTACACGTTCGGGATCGGTTTGTATATGTCTTCAAAGAACATGTTCAAGAAGTCCTGCAACAATAATATAATTTTCATTTATTTGTCTTGTTTTTTTAAAAAAAAAATATATATTTCCTCATTCATTTTATACTTTTTCAACAAAACAATGTCACTTTTTATTAAAAAAAAATTATTTTATGCTTATTAATTCTTAAGTAGTATCTTTGTCCATGAGTATTTTCCAACTTTAATTTTTCTGGCCGAGATCAACCTTTAACGTATAATCAAATTAAAATTACATTGTACATTAATTTAATAAAATTATATTTTCAAAATAATACGAAGTAACTTCAAAATATTTCACAAGATGAATCAAATGAAATTATTATAATATCAATATCTAATATAAATTTTATTTAATTAATAATCAAAGTATATTAATTTTGACAGTGAAAAATCAAAACTAAACAAATATTACTCTGCATATAAAAAGTCAAAATAGTTTTTTTCTTGTGTACCTGTTCGGCAAAAGGGGTGGGAGGGATGAGTTGGAGGGCAGAGAGGAGGGCCTCATAAGTGGAGAGGCTGGGCTCAAAAACAAACATCCCGGCGTTGAAGTACAGCGGCGGCTTGGGGCCGAGCTCCTCCGGCCACCGGGGCTTTTCCGGCCGCTGCTGGCAGTAGCCGATCTTGTACTGCGGCGTGTGACTCCACGTCTTCTCGCAGAAGCAGTCCATGACGGCGTACAGGTGGCCGTCCGGCAAGTCAAATAGGTGGTCAATGTTGTGGAACACCTGGATGTCCCCGTCCAAGTATATCATCTTGCTATACTCCACAAACTGCACCCACAAAGTCAAACACTCAAACTTGAATAATTCAGTTTCCAACAAAATTATTTTTTAAAATAAATACTCCCTCCGTCCCCCTAAAATCTTCTCGACTTTTGGTGGTTTTCAGAGAGAGTTGAAAAAAAGTGAAAGTTTACTAAAATACCCTTAATGAAAATGGGTGGGTGTATTAAATAAGGTGTAATAAATAAAGTAAGTGTAGGTAGTTGTGGTATTTTAAATATTAAAAAAGGTAATGAGAATATCTATGTGGAACAAATAAAAAAAGCTAATGAGAAGATCTATAGGGGACGGAGGGAGTACAATTTTACTAAATTTACTTTATAATTAAATATACTTTTTTATAATTTACTATCAAAAGATTCTACAATTTGGTCAAAAAAATTAAATTGTGTTAATCTTTAATGGAGAAAGGGTAATTCTAAATTTAGAAGATTCATGGACAAATGGAGTAATAAGTATGATTAGGCAATCATTAGAATCTTAAAATTTACCTCCCAAATACGGAGCTTGGAGTAGTTGATGACGTAATAAGCCATGGCAAACTCCGTCCGATTCTCCGGCGGGTAAACCGGCTCGACTTCCCGGACGACGCACCCCTGCCCCGCCAGCAAGCGGCGGTGCTCCTCCGGCACGTCCGGCAGAACCGCCACCACCAACGGGTAGGCGGAGCCCACCTTCCTCAGCCCCTTGGCCAGCCCCACCACTCCTTTCACGTAGTCCCCGTTCCCGGCCAAGAACGTGACGTAAGCTTTGCCGCTGGTTCTTGCTGACGTCACTGACCCGCTCTTCATCTCCGGCGCCATTTTTCTTCCCAATTTGCCCCTGAACTTCTCTCTTGAGCAACTGATAACAGTAATGGATTCAAGAGTAAATTCACGCTGCCGATTATAAGAATGATCTTTTTGGTGATGATGTTGAGCACTTGAGCTGGGCTGGGTGGAAGTTTCTTTTTATAGTAACGGGAGAAATAAATATAAAAATGCAAAAAGAAATTTAATTTCTTTGCGAACTTACTAGAGAAATCTCTTCCAATCCAAATAGGAGTGGCCCATTTGTACACAACCTTGGATTAAATTCCTCAGTGTCTTTCACAATGTATTTTCGTCATTTTTTTCGTTTGTGTATGCATCTTTTATTTTAATTATAAATATATGTGAATTTTTTTCGTTATTATGTTTTAGTGCTATTTACGTAAATTCTTCTTTTTTTATACTATTGAATCATACATCATCGATAATGTGGGAATTTAAATCCAATCTGAAATTGTAGGAAGATTATGAATGATTTCTTCAACTTATTCTTATTATTTATCATGTTTTTAAATTAAAATCAATTCAGATCAAATTTTTTTTAAATATAACTACATTAAGATCACATCAAAATTTATTCTAATCAGATTAAAATCATTTAAATCAGACCGTTAATATGGGCTAATACTAATAAGAAAAGTACCAGCAAAATCAATGAGGATTCTTGATGTATACAATTAAGATATGTAGAAATAGGTAGAAATATTAAGATTCTTGATTTGAGATTATTAAAGATCAAAACTAATTGGACGCAAATTGAAAAACTCGATCTACAAAAAAAAAGTGAGGGAAAGACAGAGCAATATCGAAGAAACGGAGGGATGTGGATGTTCATCACTACGGCGTCGTTTGGGAGGTGTACGTTACGGTTCTCAGTCGGTGCGAGTTGGTTGGGACACGTGGCGGACGGATGAATCTAACGGTTGCGGTGTTGTGATGTAAGACGGCGGGGGCTGGGAACTCCCACCCACAGGCCCCAGAGAAATTTCTGGAAGGTCGTCGAAGACTCGGGAACTCAAGGGATTCTCCTTTTAAAAATTTCTTTTTCAAATTAATTTGACACGGAGATTAAGTAAAATAAAAAATGTAAAGATCTCTCGTGTGTTATCTTTGATGCGATGGAATAAAGTGAATAATATACATAAATATTGAGAGTATAATGCCACATTCATTGAAGGTGGAATTTCATTCAAGAATTAACCGAATGTGGAGTAAAAGATTAGAGACTCTAGAATTAAAAAAATAAAAGAACAAGGCAAAGTCTTGTTATTTTATGGGTCATATAGAAAAAATGGGGCATCAGTCTTGTAATAAAAATAATAAAATGTAATCTCATAAAAGAAACCATGGAAAAAAACTATTCTCATCATCTCAATTTAAATTGTTAGTTTTGATTCACGATGTTTCGCTTAAATTATTTTTAAAATAATTTATTTCATAGTTATGTTTGAAATAAAAGATTAAGATAATATATTTAAAAATTGCACCAAAGTATTCACAAAATTAGTATTAACATAACTATATTATTTTATTGAATAATCAACAAAAATAAAGAAAAAAAAGTTAATGAAGTTTAATGCTATAAAACATAAATAAACAGTTTAATTTGAGGCGAATGAATAAAAAACATATCAATAATAAAATTAAAAGACAAATATCCTTGAATAGTCATAAACTCGGTAAGAAATATTGGAAAAATAAAATATTTTTCTTGTCATGGTTCTTAATTCTTCACGTTTTTCTTCTTTTTTAATGAAAAACATACTACTCCCTTCGTCCTAATTTAAATAGCCAAGTTTGATTATATTTACGATATTTTACTAAATTTATTTTCAATTCATTTTATATGAAAATCAGTGTGGAATCTAAAAAAAAATAATATTTATATTTTAAAAAATTACACCTAAAGCTCTATAAAACAAAATGTGACATTATTATATTATTTTATGAATTGAATATTGAAATTGAATAATGAAAGTATTTAAAATTTGATCATGCTTATAGTTCTAGACCAGGTCTAGAATGATAAGCTAAGTCGAAAAATTAATTACCGAAGTAAAACATAAAAGACACCGAGAAGATTGTAGATGAGATTTGAGAATTAAAAAAAGAAAAAAATGCTTTGACCTTATTACTTGGTTTGGTAATGGCTCCGTTTAGTACTAGCGTTAAAGATTATCGTTAGCGTTTTGAAAATCCTATCTGACGATATCCTTTATAGTGTTAGCGCTTTCAGAATTAATGCACATTATTAAAATTTTATCTAAAACGCTATTGTTAATCAGAAACGTTATTTCCAAACAAGGTCAATAACTTTTTTTATTAGATTTACACTATGTTTGGCTCAAATAATTCGAAAGAAAAGGAAAGAGAATAATTTTTTCTCATTTTCCTCGCTAGAATGGGGCAACTAAGTTTCTCTTGTCTTAGTATTTTGTGCATTTTCATTTTTTTTCTTCTACTTTGCTTTTCCTCTCTAACCAAACAAAAAAAATATATTTTCTTTCTTATTTTAGTTTCATTTTCTCTCAAATTACTTAACCCAAATATAATGTTAGCATTTTGGATAAAATTTTAATGGTATAGATTAATTTGAAAAATGATAACAATAAAGGCCACCGTTATTAATGGATAAATAATTAATGTGAGAAGAAAATCAATGAAATGATGAAGCTTTAACTTAAATTTTACTCACAGAGTCTCTTAAAACATTCCTTCTTTCCTTTTTTTCTTGAACCATGCTAGGTGCCCTCAAGTAGTTGTTACTATTGGTGCAACCAAGCTTTGCATGGATGAGAGAGATGATAATAATTTGTGTGACACAGCCATCTGTATGAAACTTGGGTGCATCAATGGTAGAAACCATTTGGAGGCAACCTAGCATTTTCTTTTTTTCTTTTCCCAAAATATTTTTTACTTTCTATTAAAAAACAACTTTTACTCTTAGTTTTTTTATTCTATCTATTAAGTCTAATTTTTTTCTACAAATAATCTACTTATCACATCAAAAATAAAATTAAAAACTTAACAATAAATATACATTCTTTTTTTTTGAAGGCAATAAATATACATTCTTTATTTTGGCATAAATATAAATACGGTGTAAGAAAACACGTTAATTATTTTGGGACTTTAAATTGTCTAAATATAAATAATTATTTTGAGAGGGACAAAATAATTACTCCCGGTATTTTGTTTTCTCTATCGGTTTCCAGTTTTCTTTCCCCTGTTGGTTCCTTTCAACCTATCCAGTTTGCGGCACTGCTGAGATATCAGATCTGTGGTGGAACTGCTCTGTCCCAGAACTATCTCGTAGCCGTCGCTGAGATTCTCCATCCCGTCGGTCATGAGCTGCCAGAACAGACTCCCGGCGGCCGCACCGCCGCGCCTTGCGGAGGCGTATATTGAGCGGTAGACGGCGGTGAAGAGGGCGTCCCTCTGGGCGGAGGTGAAGCCGGGATCTTTCCATGATTTCCCGAACTCGGCGATCAGCAATGGCTTCTTGAGGATGGATTGGGAGTCTTGAATGTGCGCATTCAACCAGTCGGAGAGGAAGGTCAGCTGGCTTTGCTCATCTTTGTTTGGTACCCTGTGATCAAATTAAATTCCATCCTTTTTTGAATCAAATTATATAAATTTGACAATCTTTATGTTCCAATTTAGTTTAACTACGAAGTATTTGATTTTTAATCCATTATGAGCTTTAGTAATTATGTTTGTACATAAATCAATTTTACAACGGTGTATAATTATACCTAGTATGATACGGATTATTTTAAAGCTTCATTTCCAACTAAATACTCTCTAGTATTTATCCACTTTGATGTTTTTCAATTAAATCAAACAAAGAATGATCATCAATCAGTTGAAATTTGTATTGCGTATTCGTACAATGAATTCAGTTTCATGATTTCATGAAAGTCTTTTGCATGATTTGTAAATCTTACGAAAACGTTTTTCTATTAATATTCAATATTGTTTTAGCTGAATGTACAAATACAATTAAATTATCTACAAAATTTGGTAAAGTTTGTTAAATTTGGCAAAGAAATGTCAAACATGCAATGCAAATCAGGATGCATGGAGTAAATTCTAAAACGTCATTTAAGAATGAATTCGGTGACAAAATTTGATATATTTTGTATGTTAATGTGGGTTAAAACTTACTCCGTATAAACTTTGAGAAATAAAAAAAAATGTGGTTTTCTTTTAAGGAGGTAGAGGGAGAAGAATTACTGTTGGGTATACTACCATTGATCAGGATAGGAGTGAGCAGTGGCAAAATCAATTTGAGGGATTTGGTTGTTTGCAATGAAGTCAGTTCCAATGCTGAAGGGATTTAGATGAGTCCTCTGAGGTGTTGTTTGACCATAAAACCCTTCCAGCCCAACTTCTAACATATGCTTTCTGTCTATGGACTTCACATAGGAGGCCATCTCCCTTATCCATGACTGCCATTCATTCAAATAAATAAATAAATACGGAGTAAATTAATAAATAAAAATGCATGTTTTTTTTTACATTTATGACCACAGCCCTTTGGAATCGCCAATTTGCTACAGTAGCGTGTGTTATTGAAGCGAATTAGCGATTCCTGGAGACTTGGGGGCAAAGAGGTTAATGGGGTTCGGGGAGTAGGACCCACTTTTAGGTTCAACAGACACTGTAAGACTTTGTTGTCATAATATGACATTCAAAACCAGTGTCAAAAGAATGGAAAAGAAAAAAGAAGAAGCTAACTTGAATGGTATTTCCAGAAGGATCAGAGAGGCATCTAGGCTCATTCATCAACTCCCAAGCCATGATTGTGGGGTCATTTTTGTATACAACTCCACTCACACTGTTCCTTCTGTTTAGCACAGTCTGCATAAAGGCAAAACAAAAAATGATCGAGGCAATGAAATTTAAAAAGTGTTAGTGTGATAAAGGTATATTTATTACTCCCTCCGTCCCAAATTACATTACAATTTTCCATTTATGAGGCAAAACCCGAATTTTTTAAAATCAATCTATTTAAAAATTGGTATATAAGAATAATTAATAAAATTTACATATTGACCGATTCAACTACATTGAAAGTTCTACAAAACAAGAGGTGACAAGAATATTTTATTTTATCAAATAATCAATGAAAATAAACAAACCAAAGTTATCGAGAAGTACATCCCAAAAAATTTGTAATCAATTTTTGGACGGCGTGACCGATAGAATGACTTCAAGTGTAATTCCAACTTTGACCCTAACCTTTTCAAGAGGACAAACAGACACTAGTGCTGTTAATTGTCTGTAATAAGATGAAGTATAGATGTGGGAGATTACCTGGATGTGGTTCTTGTAGTAACCTTTGACTACAGAGTTAGTGAAGAAATCATCTTCAGATGAGAGTTGCTGGCCTGTATGGTTTTTAGCCCAGTTCACATATTGTTTCTTCCCTCCAAAGCTTTCATAGTTATTGACTAAGCTTAATATCAACTTAATCCCATACTTTCTTGCCTCTGCTATCACAAAATCCAATCCCTTCATATATAACCACAAGAAACCAAAAAAAAAAACCATAAATAAATTTAGTCTCATTTCAGTTTGTTGTGCATGTTGACCTTTTAAGTATTTTTTTACTTCTTTTGTGGTTCCAATGTTCCATAGAAAACATGGTCTGATGGTCAAATAAACTTTTTTTTCTTTCCAGAAAAGCAATACATGTCTCTTTACACTTATCTCTACTAAATAAATTAAACCGGCACATCTTTCAATTTTTATTGAACTTGGTGAAGTCAAAGTGTAAATTTGTTTTAATAGGTTGTCCACTATCATAAAATTAGAGTTTAGAAAAAAACAACGATAATAAGGTAATGAGGTCTTGAGTTGAATTAGATTATCGATTAGATTCAATCTTTTATTGTGGTTTGATCCAAGCATCTTGTTGTGGTCTAATTGAAATTGAATGACCTCTGCCAAATCCCAAATTGTATTGAAGAAGCTAGTATGTATAAATGGGTTGTGGTTAATTAAGTCACACAACCGATGACACCAAGGGTGACACCGTCAGTGTCTCATAAACAATGACCGTCTCACGGACAATTTTGTCAGTGCGAGATGTCAACCTCGGTGTCACGTTAGAGTAGCATTATGATTGATGTGTATAAATAATATATATATACCTGGAACATGTCTTGGTTGTAAGAGCCAGGAGAGGACTGAAGAGGCCTATAACCACCATCACTGAAAGCCCAAGTTCTGGCAACAGTGAGGCCATGGGAGGCTGCAGCTCTGTAGGCCTCTGAGACTTTGTGCCTTTGGGAAGGGTCAGATGCCACATACATCAGCCAGTAGGCATTGAACCCATTGGCATAGAAAGGGTACCCTTCCACACTGAAGTGGACCCCACTTGCCCTTATGAACCCTTCATTCCCTTGATCAGCAGCAGCTTTTACTACACAACTCTGCTTGCTTGAATAATCAATGGCTAAAGGCATTGCCATTAATAATAGTAGTAGTCCTAAATAATGATTCTGATTCTTCATCTCTTTGTTTTTTTTTTCTTTTTCTTATGTTTGAATGAATTTGGATGAAAAGAGAAGCTAGGGTAAGGGGAGTATATANGGGGGGGCTTTACTTTTTGTTATTGATGAATGGTATTGGTGATAACAAATAAAAATCACCTAACATAACTGAAAAATTAAAGGATATCATAGTAAATTTAGTGCAATAATATTGAAAATTTTGCCCAAGTCATTCCAACCCCGAGAAGATGGGATACCCCGAGCATAGTTTGAAGAAAAAACACCCCTCCCTCATAAATGTGGGGACAAGAGTTTTTGTATATTGCGTTGTACGTATCTGGAAATAGTTTTTATACTTTCAACTAGAGATAAGATCTGTGTACACACACTCTTCTTGGATCCTACTTTTGCTACCCTTACATGTGTTTGTTTCCTTAGTTATTGTGTCATTATATGTCATGACAACAAAAAAACAGACTATGTTATCTGTTGTCATTTATAATCTCTCCGTCCCATAAAATATTTTATAATTTCTTGTTATCTATTGTCATTTATAATCTCTCCTTTCCATAAAATATTTTATAATTTCTTATTCCGGATGTATTAAAAGTTTTTACACTTATTTTAATTTTTTTTAGTAGTGAACACATTGGGAGGACAAAATACTTTTCTCTCATCTAAATAAATTTTAAACATATATTTTGTATTTTTTATTTTTCAAAAATTTGTTAAAAATTTTGTAAAAACCAAACCCTAATGTTATTTTAAGAATGCCGACTTTACTTCCATTCTTTGATAGTGTATGCACGAGGGGAACACAAGATGGTCCATTAATTACTTCCTCCCCTCTACTTGTCGGCGGCGCCCCTAATTCCTCTTCTTTTTGTTTAATGCTTCTACGTTTTTAAATGATTCACACATTATTACTCCCTCCGTTCCACAAAACACTTCCATTTTAATTTTTTGCGCATCTCATAAAATATTTCTATCTCATCTAAAATGTCTAAAATACCCATAGAACAACTTCTACCTGCAATAAACTACATAGTGGGGTATATTTTAGATATTTAAGGTGGGAGTAAGAACGTTTAATGAGATGCGCAAAAATTTAGGGCGGAAGGGTTTTAAAGAACGGAGGGAGTATTATTATTATTCAAAAATTGCAAGAATTTTTAATTTATTTGTGTGATTTCATTGACTATTTGATAAAATTAAATATTCTTGTCACCTTTTATTCTAGAACATTTGATATACTTTTTAAATATGTAAGTTTTATTTTTTATTTATATACCAATTATTTAAATAAAATAAATTAAAAAAACTTGATATATTTTACATCATTTTGCTTAACGTGTAAATGATTTAAGTATAGAGGGAGTACTATACTACCTCTCGCTTGAATTGATCGTCTTATTCTACTTTTTACTGGTACTAGCATTTTAACCTGTGCGATGCACGAGGTGGAACGAAATATTTTTTCGATTCTGCAAGTTTTCTTTAGTATAGCATTCTTCAAAAATTGAAAAAAATAAAACATATACTTTTAAAATTAAAGGAATGATATAATATATAACATTTGCTAGTAAAAATTCTACTATATAAATTTAGAAATGAACGTGCCAAAGTCTTTTTTAAATTATGAATATTTGGAAAAGTTTTAGATATATGATTTTTTTTCGTGAAATTGCAAAGGCTGCCAGTGATATCTAAAACTAATAATCGGGACACTTTTATCATACTTTTATAATTTCACTTGCAAAACAACAATGTAAAATTAACCATAAGTGGATACTGAATTGTTAATAAATATTTTAACAAATGATAATGTTTGACTTTGACTTTTATTAATATTCATAGTGAAACGTAAACTTCGGAAATTATATTCTTTAAAACTTCAACGATAATCCTCGATCAAATGATACTAAATTCATTTATGATATGTTTGGAAACATTTATTTGATTTTTAATTGTATTTGGCTCAAACTTAAAATTTGGAAACCTTAAAATTATAGTTTTGGATTTTAGATATTTTTTTTAATTCATAACAAAGCTCAATTAAAAATTTATATACATCCTCTTGTCATTTGAATTTCATGAGTTGAAATTTTGGAATTAAAATGAAATGTTAGTGGATACAAAAATTGCACAAAAGACCGTTTCACAATTTTTCAACGGTTAACTTTGTACCATTACACAATAAAAGTGTTTGATTAAATATAATTTGTACTATATTAAA